CGCTTAGCCGGTGCACCGCCGGATGGCCTCGGCAGGAGAAGCATCGAGGTTAGCTGGGCAAAGGGAACCCGTGAAGCCAGTGAGTTCTGTGAAAAGTGAAGCACTCGGGCCTTCCGGAGAGACAAGCTGGCCAGGCCTGTGCTTGGGACCACAAGAGGCTGGGGAATGAAAACAGATCTAGTTTGATCAGTGTGTTTTTTTGGTCACGACTGAATCCTGCACACACCCGCTTGCTCCTCCCCCCCTGCTAGCAGGGGTCCTGTCCCATGATGAGCCTGAAAGGAAAATCCACGTGGAAGTGAAGTCAACAGTAACTAAAAGCTGAAGACACGAGGTCTAACTAAGGGCGCCTTGGGGGAAGGTCTTCGCAGTTTGGAAGAGGCAAGATCATAAGGGAAAGAATTCTAGTTATCTTTCAAGAGTTAATAAGAGCCTGTGAGCTCAGAATTAAGTTGTATTTCTCCTGCTGGCCTGGGTAGACGTGGGTGACGACCTGGTGGCCACACTGCTGCCGGGCAGGAAACCCCGGGAAACAGCAAGTGTGTTGGCCCGGGATGTGAGCAACTGCAGTGTCCTGTGGCAAGGCTGCCCTCCCGGCCCGGGGAGGGATGGGGGAGGAAGAACAGGGACGGACAGATCATCCTGGACCTTCTCATCAGCCACAAAAGCACACACTGTCCTTGGGCGTTGAGCTTTAGATAAGTGAAGGTTGAAAGGACTTGGATTTCCACTAACTACAGTTTGTTGAATTTAACGTTGGGAAGTTCATGCAGGCTTTAGAATTGTTTCCTTCCTTTATGAATTCAGAAGATATAAAACAAAGGTGTAGCAAATACCCCCTCAAATCCCTCAATGGGGTGTGAACACAAGTATCGTGTGAGGTAGCTTCCTGGCTGAGAGGCCAACAGGGGAAGTGGCACCCCATGGAAGGACGCCCGCTGGTCTGCTGTCCAGGCACGAGCTCACTCCAAGGGCGCGGGGCCGCCGTCGACGGCATCGGGTGCCCGCCCAGCCCCAGGCAGGCTCGCGGCTGGCTGACCCTTGCTTCCTCTGAAACGGGGGGGCGGCGGGGGGGCGAGGAGGGGACGACACTGCCCTCTGAGAGGACGGCCGAGGAGGCTGCAGCCGGGACAGTTTCCACGAAAGGCCCATTACCTGTTCCGGCTTCTGCTGCTGACCTCCTGCCAAGGGATACTTTCAACAGATTAGTTTAGAAAGTCACTGGAAATTCGACAAGCAGCTGGTTAAAAATTTCACACACCATGATCAATAAAATTCCTCCCTACCAGCAATAACCAGTCGCAAAGTGCAGAAAAAGATCCCATTCACAAGAAAAAAATAAGCTAGCCGGATATAAAAATCAACACAAACAGTGCCATTTATACTGCTTCTATGTGGGGAACAGCATGAAACCTAAATGAAGGGCATAAAAGAACTACAAATCAAACTGGTAAGACATGCCGCCTTCCTAGAGGATAAAGCTCAGTACTGCAAAAATTTATTCTCCCCAAGTTAACTTATAAATTCAATACATTCTCAATCAACACTCAGACGTGATTATATATCCTACCTGATATACTAATTCTAAAAGTCATCTGGAAGACAAAATGAATGAAAAAAGATAATGAGGGGGACTTACTCTCTATAACTTTATTGATTTTTTTGAAAGAGAAACTTCAGTTTGTTGTTGCACTGATTTATGCTCTCCCTGGTTGATTCTTGTATGTGCCCTGACTGGGGATGGAGCCTACAGCCTTGTGGTATCAGTGTTATGGACCGGAAGTCCCAGGAACTCGGTTCTTCTCGCCAACGTAGTAAAGAATCACAGGCCAGCAAGCCTCCTGGTGTGCAAGCAAAGTCTATTAGTGCTAAGTTCAAATAGGAAAGCAAGAGCAAGGGTGGCCAGCGGCCCTGTGACCAGCACCCAGACGGCCAGAGGCCCGGTGGCTAGAAACCAGATGGCCAGCAGAGAGGTGGCCAGGGGCCCCCTGGCCAGATGCCAACTGGCCAGGGATCCTTGTGTGACAAGACAGCCACGAGAGTCTGTGGTTGCAAGTCTTGGCAACCACGATGCCAAGAGTCCTTTGTTCTGAGGACTTGCGTAGTTGGAGAGGTGGGGATGAAGTTACGTTTTGATCGACAGGTAAAGGTGGTGCCAGCGTGCCCCAGGAGACGTGCCTACCCAAACACAGTGATGGGTGGGGGTCTGTTAGCCCAAATTCTTATCTTGCTCTAGAGTCCATTTGTTCATTTTGCATATATGACGGGAGGCAAGCAGTGGACCAAGGTTGTTTTATGGGTTTTTTCTTGGGGCACTGTGGACCCCTCCCCCTCCCCCCCAGGCCTTGGGATGCATACACAGTCTCAAGGTTTTCCTTTTCCCAGCCAGTGGAGATGATACACACAGACTTTCAAGGGCTCCCCGCCTCCTGCACTATCAGAGTTTCACTGGTTTGGGATGCCTGGCAGCCTTATCGGACCAGGCTCAGGCTTGCTGGGTCAGCGGGTGAGCTTCTGCTTTTAGCCTCCTGTATTAAGTTCTTTGTTAAATTACAAGGGTGAGGGTCCTGCTTTTATTTCCCCTCTGGCTGCTCATTCCACTGTAACATTGGGGTGATGCTCTAACCAACTGAGCTATCTGGCCAGAGCAATTTAAGGTACATCATAAAGCTTGAGGGATTTAAAACAATGTAGTATTTGTGGAACCACAGAAAAATGGATTAAAAGAACAAAGGAAGAGTCCACAAACAATCTCACTTAGTAAACACAGCACTTTAAATCAGTAAGAAAGCGCTGGATTTGTCAATAGAAATGTAGCTGGAATGGTTTTCCATTCTGAGGGTGGGGATCTACACCCCTACTTCCTACCACTGACGAAAGTAAAAATTAAAGACCACCCGGGGAAAAAAAGCTAGGTAAATTAAAGGGCTATATGTAAAAAAAGGAAAACAAAACAAAACAGAACTATGAAAGTAGTAAAAGAGAATATAGGTAAATATGCTTACACACTTCATAAGGGAAGTATTCACAAACAAGACATAAATCACAAGTAAACTGGAAAACACAAAAAAAGGACATCCTATGGAAAAGATGACTGATAAATCTGAACCCATCAAAACCTAAAACTTTAATAAACAAAGTTAGAACAATTGAGATTGAAAAAGAATGTTTGTAAAATTTGTAACAGAAATGTAAGGAGCTCCAAACATTAATTAAAAAAATAGTATCTGAAACACTTCTTAAAAATATTTTATTTACATTTAGAGAGAGAAGGGGAAAGAGAGAGAAACATCAATGTGTGAGAGAAACACCACGTGGTTGCTCTCACAGGCCCCCAGCTGGGGACCTGACCTGTGGCCCGATCTGTGGCCCAGGCGTGTGCCCTGACCAGGAATCAAACTATGACCTTTCAGTTCTCAGGCCAAGGCTCAACTCAGTCCACTGAGCCACACCAGCCAGAGCTGAAACATCTTTTCTTACTACTATTTTTAAACTGGTAGATGAAAAATAGCCCCAAAGAAAAATGTGCAAAGAACATGATCAAGCAACTGACAGGACAGGAAATAAAAATGGCCCCAAAATATAAAATGATGCTCAATCTCATAGGTAATCGGAAAAACGGAAACTTAAAAAAAATGAGCGGTTTTGTCCAACAGCTTGATCAAAATTAAAAAGATTAAAAGCATGAAGTGTTGGTGAGGGCGCCGACAGGGTTGGTGGGTATTTTAGAGGCTGGTATATACTCAGAGGACAACTTAGCAGTGTTTTTAATATTTAAAATATGTGTATCTTCAACCCAGCAATGCCACTTCTGTATCCGCAAAGAATACACATGTGTATAAAGAGGCATGTAAAAAGATGTTAACACTCACTGAAAAAAAAAGAATGGTTAAATAAATTATATCCAAACTATGCATGTCTACGTAACAGTTAATAATGGTATGAAAATATCAAGGTTTTTAAACAAAAATGCAAGTTGCAGAAAAGCTATAACATGATGTCACTTGTGTTTTTAAGATACGCAAAACTATGTATTTTTACATAGGATTGCAATCGGCAAGGCGGGCATACCGGAGGGGACAGTCACTGCATCAGCATACGCTCATGTTTCACCTGTACAGCTACCAGCTCCTTCCACCTCAGAGTCTGAACCGGGCTGTCTGCCAACAGACTGTCAACGATGAGGAAGAGGTGGCGCCCCTCCGAAAAGGAATGCGTTATGAAAGGCGTGCTGCCTGTAGCGTGCAGAACGCAGTGTGAGCAAGGGCGCAGGGAGGCAGCGGAAAGACTGGGGACGCGGCCGCACTACCCCGTTCAAAGCTGTTCAGGGCTTCCCAGTACCTGTAAAATAAAGGCCGAATTCCTGAGCCTAATCTCCAAGACACTCTGCAGTCTGGCCTCAACTATTTTCTGACCTTTTATTACTTCCTTCCATCACAAGTATCCAGCTCAGCCTGGCGTTAGCATGTGCCCATACTTGTTCACAGTTCCTTCTCCTTTGTACCTTCCTAAATCTGGCTTCCTTTAAAAACGTACACTCAAAATTTGTTGTTTAATGGGTACAGAGGTTAAGTTTTACAAGACACTGAGTTCTGGACATTGGTTGCACAACGTGAATGTACTTAAAACGCTACAAAAAACCATACATTTAAAAATGGTAAAGATGGCCAATTTTATGTTATGTGTATTTTCCCACAACTTTTAAAAAAATCAGAAGCTGATTCACATGAAGACGTGACTCTCACCGTCCCCGCTCCCCACGTCTTCTGTGACCAGCCGTCTCCCTCCTCTGCCGTCCCAGAGCTCGTATCCTCGGTACAGCTCACGAGGCTTTGTCGTCACCCACACTGTTACCCTTCCAGTGACTGCCCAGCTGGCGTACCTCCCCGACCCAACGTGGCCACAGCATCTTAACAGAGCTCAGGAAACATCTGCTATTGATCAACTGGCCTCAGAAGCAAAGGCAAAGTGAGGAGAAAATGATAAATCATAGTAACTGCTTTAATATTAAAATATTTATTTTTCTAAAAGATCACACAAAAGTTGGGGAGGGAAAGAAAGATGTCAACTAGCCTACATCAAGATCTGCGCTGACGAAGGACAGAGAGCTGCCTAAAGAAAGTGGTAGCTGGAGCCAAGGGCGGAGCTCGGGACGGCCGCAGCCGGGGTCAGCCTCGTTCACGGCACCACCGAGTGCCGGGGACAGCGAAGCTGCTGGCCCCAGTCACCCTCCTTTTCAGGGAGGGAGGAAGCAGGAGCTCACTCTTTGGACATGTTCCTGATGGTCTTGTGCTCCTTCATGGCCTTCTCCCACTCGCTGCCGTTGAACTCCTCGATGACCACGCTCCGCACGGTGCCCTCGTCCAGGCAGTGTGGGGCGATCCCTGCAGGGGAGCGGCACAGAGAAAGGGTCCCCAGGAAGAGTGAGACCAGGTGCAGCACTGGCTCTGGGGCAGACCCACACCTGAAGCCTCGCCATGCTGCCCAGGCGGCTTCCCGAGTGATACACTGGAGGTCACAGTGTCAGCCTCGGGGCTCAATATCCTTCTCCCCTAGTAGGGAGCGGGCGTCCTGAGCCAGGGCTGGCCAAGGCCGGACATCAGTCGGCACCAAGCTGGGAGCACAGAAGAGCAGAAAGACTCAGCCTAGAGCGGTCTCGGGCTGACAGGCCTTTTCCAAGGCTCAGACAGGTAACTCTCTAGGCATTAAATGCCTCCATCTGTACAGGACTTGATACTCTCCAAAAGCCTTTTCTGCGCCTCGAGGGAGACGAAAAGGAGTCTCCGTGTGACACATGAGGAAGAGAGAGGAGCTGCTAAAGGAATAGGCCAGAAGGACAAGGAGGATGTGGGGCGGCCCCTCACGGAAGGTCACGGCCACAGCTGCCCCAGCACAGCTCCGGAGGCTGCTCTCCACAGGGACTGATGCCTAAGGGACGTCCCTGACGCTGCTTTCCGCTCAATTCACCCTGCAATTGGCATCATTCCCAACGACTGTTTAAAGGTTGTTCTCTCCCTCTGGATCCAAGTAGGACTTGAAGGGGGACTTGGGGGGGTTGGGGGAGAAGTTCTCTTTGTGTTTTGAACAAACCAAAAATTTTTAATGGCATTATCAATGCTCCTCATTCTTGCCTCATTTATCCCTTCAGCCCTCACTGTTTTGTTTTGTTTTTTTTAAGCTTTTATTTATTTATTTTTAGAGAGAGGGGAAGGGAAGGACAAAGGGAGGAAGAGAAACATTACTGTGTGGTTGCCTCTCATGTGCCCCCTACTGGGGACCTGGCCCACAACCCAGGCATGTGCTCTGACTGGGACTCGAACCAGCAACCTTTTGGTTTTCAGGCTGGCACTCGATCCACTGAGCCACACCAGCCAGGGCTCTTTAGCCACCATTGTTAAAATTCCCTCCCCCTTCCCACAGACCCATCTTCTCCCCCCTCCTCCCCACCCCTTGGGGTCGGCCCCAGTGACGCACAGCGCTGGCAGCGCCAGGAAAGAGAATCAGGATCTGGCTGGCACCTGAATGACCAGAGCCAGCCTTACATCCCATCGTTAGAAAAAGGCTCTGCTGAAAAGCCCCATTCATCTAAAACATGCACATGGAAGGGCCTCGCCCAGCAGAAGGCCAGCCAAGGACGCCAGTGCCCACCTTTCTCAGCAGCACCCCGCAGGGCAGCGTGGGCGGCCACCCGAGCCGTGGCGGGTCCTGTACTCACCGAAGCCACCGGGGTTGGAGCGGGGTGTGTAGAAGCTCTGCACGCCGCACCTCTTACAGAAGGTGTGCTGTGCTCTGTGAGTGTTGAACGTGTATGTGGTTATGCTCTCGGCTCCCTGAGGGGAAACAGACAAACAGGTGACCCCTTTTACAAAGAGACTTTTTTTGTCATTTAAAAAATATATCTTTTAAAAGGCTCACCGGGCTCAGCGGGCTCGGAAGCCCTTCTGTAGGGCTCTGAGGATGCTGAGGAAATAGCCAGTCTCCCAGAGGCTGGAGGCTTCTCTGGGGCAGGGAACCCCCCATGGCCTGGAGATGCGCCAGGGCAGGTGGGTCCGGGTCCCGGTCCCAGAGAAGCAGCAGGTCGTGCCTTCTCTCGGGTCCACTGCACACAGAGCAGCTCGGCGCTGTGCTTCCCCCGGCCCGTGGGAAGGAAGATGGCCGGCCCAGTCGGGGTAGGGGTGAAAGGCCTGCTCCCCACAGCCGCACAAGGGCTGGCTCTCCCTGTCCCCACACAGCTCTGCTCAAGGGCTTAAGAAAACTGTTGCCTGTATTTGAATTCATCTACAAAGGACAAACTAAGAAAAGAGTATTTGCCAGACAGTACAGTCAAAGGGCTAATTTCCTAAATGGATAATAACAAATGGGAAATGGGGCAAAGGACATGACCAAACAGTGCAAAGAAAAAACAAACAGCTCTTCAACCTGTGAAATGACATCTACACTCATGGACTGCGATGAGATGCTTTTCACTTTCACTGTCAGGGGGAAAAGAAGTCAAAAAGTTGCCTAACACAGCGTTGCTGTATATGTGGAGAAACATGCACTCTCGTGTACCCGCTGTGGGAATATAAATTGGTAAAACCTGACATCTGCCAAAATTCTAAATGAACATATCCTTTAACACAGCAACTCTACTTCTAGAAATTTATCCTTCAGTTAAAATTTTGTATGTACCCAATCGCCTATGTATATAGATATTATAGCACTGTTTGTAAAGGCTAAAGATTGGAAAAATGAAAATGTCCGTCAGTAGAAGACTAGTTAAAGCAATTACGGGCACTCATAAAATGGACTACTCTGCAGCTTTTGAAAAGGATGAGGCCATTCTATTCACAAATACTAACAGGCAACCATCTCCAAGGTTACGTAGTTAAGTGAAAAAGCAAAGCGTAAAACAATTTGTGTAGTATAGCACCATTTCTAATTTTTTAAAAAGGATATACAAAAAAGGAAAAGAAATAAAACAAAATATAAAATAAAAAAGGATACACAGACTTGTACGGGCTGGGGGGTGTGTGACGGGCAGGGTGGCGGCCTTTGCATCCTTCCTCCCCGGCCTCCAGGAGGCGCCGTGCCTGCTGCCAACAGAGCTCCCCGAGGGGCCTGGTCTCGCACCACAGCCACCTCACCACAGACAGGCAGCAGAGAACAGTTGCCCAATGGCCCCAAATCATCCCGAGTTTTCTGATTATGCACTTTGCCCCAGAGAATCACTGAGAGGAACTGGGAGCTGCCTCACACTCTCCTTCACCCCTCGTTACTGGAGGTCACCCAGTGACGTTCAGACCCTCCTTCCCTCGCTACCCTGCGCGCCCACCCACCTGACCACAGGCCCTGCTCCCACTAAAATGCACGGCCTGCCATCATCCCGTTGCTATGTTAGCCTCTCCGGTCATGTCTTCTGTCTTCGTGCCCAATCAGAAATCACCACTGTCCACCATGTTGACAAATCTAACGGTCACGTCTCCTGACCACTGGATTCTTAACTTGTTCTTCCTAATCTGGCCTCTCAGTGCCACTGTGTCCATTTTGGAACATCCGTCTCCGAGGACACCCCACTCTCCTGTTTTTCCCTCCTCCTCAGGGCACGCTATGGGTGCTGGCCCACCCCAGGGTTCTGTCCTCGGCCCCTGACCTCTTCGGCTACATTCTCTACCCACCTGACTGCACCGGCTGACCAGTCTCCCGGCTCGACACGCTGTCACTAGGGCAACAGCTGTCACATCTGAAGCTCCCGCTCTGACCCCTCTCCACAACCCCGACCCTCCAGCCAGCTGCCCACTTCCTCTCTCAGCCTGAATGCCCAAGAGGCCCCTTCAACCGAACTTTCTCAAAGCAGAGCTCTCGTTCCCGCACTCTCACCCGTGTCTCCGCAGGGCCTGGCACCGCTCTGCACCTGGCCGCCGAGGCCCGACACTGCGGCTGTGCCTGACCCCGCTGTCCCCCGGACCTGCCCACCCAGCCCTTCGCGGGGCTCCGCTCAGCGTTTCTCTGAGCAGTGGCTCTCGGAGAGCAGTCCTCAGACAGGCAGCCTCACCTGAACACGTAAGAAATGTGAATTCTTGTCCCCCATCCCAAGACTCCCCGGATCAGGAGTGGGGTTTAACACAGGTGACTGTGCACACATGAGGTTTGAAAACCAGCTCTGAAACATCTGTCCAATCATCTACTCAACGCACATCTCCAGTCACCTCTGTTCTTTCCATCTCCACAGCCGCCATCCTAGTCCAAGCCCTGTCACCTCTCACCTGACAGGCCTGAAGGAGCCCCGCGCCGGCCCGGTGTCCGCGCTCACCTCCTTACGCCCACTCTCCACACAGCAGCCAAAGCGCGCTTTGGAAGCGCTGAGGCGGATTCGTCCCTGCCCTGCGGAGGACCCTCCAGAGCTCCACACTACGCAGGGAATAAAATCTACCTCCTGGCCTGCGGCGGCCTCCCCCCAACCCGTCCTAGTGCCCGGCTCCACCGCGCAGCTGTGGTCAGCTCCTCAGACACGCCCTCCGCCCTGCGCGCCCCTGCCTGCCCACCCACCCGTCTTCATCGTTCGGGTCTGGACACCAGAGGGGCCTTCCTGACCTGTCCAAACCAGCCACCCGGCGACTTCTATCATGCTTTAACTCTCCACACAGCCCTACCGGACTTTTTCTTATTTATTTCTTTCATCTCCCCGCGATAGAACGTGAACTCCAAGAAGGGCCTCATCTGCCCCGTCAATGGCTGGGCTTCAGTGGAACAGGGCCTGGCACACAGTAGGTGTCCCATAAATCCTTGCTGAATGAATCAATGTTTGTACCTAATTTTTTTTAAATGCACAATATGTATATATAATTAATCTTTAGACTGCTTTTCTGAAACTAGTATAAATGTTGTATGTCAACTATGTCTCAATTAACACAAATAAAAACAAGCAAGCAGAAACTTGTTTCTTCAACAGGCTGGAGACAAAACAGAGAATGGAGCTCTGGAGCACCAAAAAATGCATTGATCATCAGGCCCACAAAGAGAAAATAAAGGAAAAATATATCAATCCCAAGGCCCAAGAGCCCAAGGCTGCACCTGGTGGTGTCTTCAGAAACCATCTGTCCTGGGTGCTCAAGAGCAAAGGTGAACTGGGGCCACAGCCTCAGGAGAGCACACTGGGAGCCTTCTGGGCTTATGGCAAAGAGAGACACAGGGACACCGCCCACCTGTCCAACCTCCCCTGCTGGTCACAGGGAGGATCAAGGGACTGATGAAGAATAGGAGACAGGCCCTTATCTGGTAGCTCAGTTGGTTAGAGCATCATCCCGGTATGACAGGTTGTGAGTTTGATCCTTGGTCAGGGCACATACAAGAATCAACCAAGGAGTGCGTGAGTAAGTGCAACAACAAATCAGTGTTTGCCTCTCTCTCTCTCAAAGCAATCTTTTTTTTTTTTTATTTTTAAAAAAATTTAAAAAGGAATAGGAGACAAATCAGCCCAAAGTATTTGGGATTAAGTCTCTAACTACCTAGGAAAGACCAGGACTCATACATCCATTCACTTAGTCTTTCCTGTCAGACACTCACTGAGCGGCTCCTTAATGTCACGCCTGTGAGGCCAGCAGCTGGTCAGACCCAACAAGCGATGGTATCTGGAGACCCTCACCGGCTAGTAAAGGAAACAGACATGGTAGCAGATTGTTACACCAACGCATAGAGACCTGAGAGACCACAGAGGGGGCAACCGAGGGGAACCAGGGACAGAAGGAAAGCCCCGCCTCACATTAGCAACAGTGTGTCAAAGCCCTTCTGAAAATGAGTTTCTATTCTTTGACCACAGATTTTATTTCTAAGAGAAGTGAACCTAAAAAAATATTTTCTAAATCATCAAAGATTTATACACAGGGAGGTTCACCATAGTGTTGTTTATGGTTGGGAAAAAACAGCACTTGACCTCGAAGTTCAAATGTAGAAAATGGTTTATGGCAGATTCATAAACTGAAATAGGGCGCGCAGGGGAACAGCGGGGTCCGTGCGCTGGGAGGTGGTGGCGGGGAAGCACGGGCAGTGGTGGGGAGGCTTCTCACTGTATACGTGCACTTTTGTACCTGCTGAATTTCACACCAAGCACAAAAAATTTCCCACAATAATAAAGTTTGAAATTTTTATATTATATTTTTCTCATTGGAAAATGCTAACGCCAGTTATAAAACAGAAAGGTAAAACTCTACTGTGATACAAAAAATATATATATATATTTAGATGTATTTATCTGTGTAGAAAATAATGCACAAGGATATATACCAAAATATTTCTTAAAGTGCTTTCTCTTTTTTTTATAATTTTATTTATTTAGTTTTAGAGAGAGGGGGAGGGAGGGAGAGAGGGAGAGAAACGTCGACCAGCTGCCTCCTGCATGTGCCCAGACCAGGCACCACACCTGCATCCCAGGCGTGAGCCACACCCATCAGGGCTACACACCAAAATATCAGCAGTGGCTGACAGCATCTGGGCGATCTTATTTATTTGAAAATGTTTTCTCGGTAATATCAGATAAGCATCCAAAATATAAAGGAAAAAATAACATCACCTTTTAAAAATAAACACGCAACCTGGGGCCCCGGGGAGATGAAAGCCCCAGCGCACCTGCCCGCTGCGCTCCTTTCCCTGCACTCCAGGCTGCACCTTCAACCCTGCTCTCAGCACTCACCTTCAGGAGCTTGAAGCGAGACGCGGGAACAATGAAGTGTCTATTTTGCTTCTTCTTGCAAACACTGCAGCTACAGAAAGACAGAGCAAGTCCCAGATTGTGAACAGCCATCTGCACCCTCTCAGTGCCCAGGGGGCCCAACATGACAGGCTCTGAGAGCCTGCTGACCCCAGAAGCGAAGCCCCTTGCAGCGCTATCCAGGGAACGGGGGTTGGGGGAGCGCCTCAGCCACCTGGGGCCTCTGCCCACAGTGGAGGCCACGCGACCTTTGCAAAGGCAGGACCAAGAGAACCAGCTCTCTGCCACCCACCCCCCAGCTCAGTACAGTGCGGGGGGGCGCCACCGCGTGCTAGAGACATCTGTGCCTGGCACAGCCACAGTCTGATGCCGCTGGGAGAGCCACGCCATGGGGGGTGGGCGGGGAGGGCCCTGTCTCCCTCCTTCCTCCTCCACGCAGCACAGGAAGCCTGGCTCCAGGGAGAATAGGTACCTGGGATCGCCATTTTTGGAATTCAATCTAAGCCGCCTCTCTTCGGTCCGCCTTCAAAAAATTCTGATTTAGTACAGAATCCTCTATCTAGAAGATCCTCTAATACTCTAGTATAGAATCCATGGCCAATGTGGTTCAGTTGGTTGGGCCCTGTCCCACAAACTAAGAGGTTGTGGGTTCAATTCCCGGTCAGGGCACATGCCAGGGTTGCCAGTTTGGTCCCTGGTCAGGGAACATACAAGAGGCAACCGACGAATATTTCTCTCTCACATTAATGTTTCTTTCCCTCTCTTTCTCTCTCCTTTCCTCTCTTTCTAGAATTTCAAAAAATTAAAAAAAAAAAAAAAAAAAGGAATCCATGATGCTTCTCCAGTCTGGACTCCACTGTTAGTACCCTGGTCAGTTTCCCATTTGAATAATGCCATGGTATATTTTTCATATATAATTCAGGTACCAGCTAGGGGCAAAAGGTCCAGAAGCCAGAGCTTTTCATCCTGGTTGTGTGACAACGCCAGGGAAGGCGCTAAAAAGCAAGCGCTCCCTCCCCAGATCCTGGCAGTGCTGTCTGCCTCAGCTGGAAGGACAGAGCGGGAGGGCCTGGAGCTTGGGGAGCTCCACGTGCCAGGCGCACACACCCGCCCATTTTTCCTACATACCCCCCTCACCTCCACAACGCCAAGGAGCCTGCCCGAGGCATTTCACTCGGTGCCCAGACTAACTGACCTCCAGCTGACCACCACCCCCGACCGCGCCGCATGCCAGCAGAATTCGTCTGCAGGGTGACTCTGCCTGGCACAGGCCGGAGGACCCTGCTCTGCGTCCCCTGGGGCTGTGCTGCACGAGTGAGCTCTTTCCCCGCCCTTCACACACTCTCGCACATACGTACACAGAGCAGACTCAAGTTACTTTTAGCCTCCATCTTTAAAAACAATATATGATTAAAAACTTCTGATACCTACTATAGGAGAAAGGCCAGAACAATGGGGCCTTATATATCCATCACCTGACTCCAACAATTACCAGCTGTGTATCGATGCATCGATATCCCGCCTCCCCAGCTGATGCCGAAGCACTGTGTTTTCACTCCTCAGCCCTTTTAAACTAGCTTGGGAAGAGAAAGCACTCACTTGCAGTCAAAGATGTGTAAGTCTGCCGAGGCCCAGACTTCAAAGCGAACGGCTCCACAGTGGCAGCCTCCCGTGTGTTTCACCAGGCCCTGGTACTCGCTACACAAAACAGAACATTGGGGAGGTGAGAATTCCTGAGGAGCCCGCAGGTCCCCACTGCACCGCGCATGCTTTTTCTCTCTCCTGTGGTGGAAAGAAAGAAGCAAGACGGACAAAACTCTTCTCTACCAGACAACAGATGCCTCTGCTTTTGAGGAGGAACCATGAATTTTATAAAAGAAAGGACTCTGCCTTCTTTGCCACTGAGCTCTCACTGTCTTATATGTTACATGGCAAAAGAAAGCACGCCAAAAACTTGGGACAAGGCAGGGTGGGAGCGGGGGAGGGAATTCTCATCCCACCACTCAAACGTTTTTATTTATATGTCAGATATTTACTAAGATTTTTTTATGAACCAAGTGCACTGCACTAAAAAGAGAGCAGTAAACAAGACACAGCAGGCACAGTTCCTGGCCTTACTGACCTTCGGTGGCCATGAAACAAATTACCCAAGTAATATTTAAGTGATCGTGATAAAGATGGGACAGGCCGCTATGAAAAAGACAGACATGGGGACCAACCGAGTCTGAGGGCTCGGGAAAAGCCTCTGAGAGTTACAACGGCTCTCGTAATGCTGCTATATTCCCCTCCAATGGTTTATATATACATGGCTTTTTGCAGAAGTATACATACACATAACATACAACTTAAATCCTTTTAAAACTTATTATATATAAGCCAGGCCCTTAACTGAACATGATTAAGATTTGATAAACATCATCGAAATGCTTTCCAAAAGGGCTGGACACTCTTATCAGTCATCAGTGAGAAAATATTTCACTGTACCTTCTCAAGCAATAATTACAGGAAAAACAACTTGCTGCAGTAATTTACATTTATTTGGCTTTTAAGACTAAATAGGGGGATGGATAAAAAAGGTGAAGGGGAATAAGAGGTACAAACTTCCAGTTATAAAATAAGTAAGTCACAGGGATTTATTAAGGAGTTGCATAGGGAATATAGTCAGTAATAACACACGAACCCTGTGTGGTGACAGTTACTAGGCTTGTGGTGACCGCGTCACAGGGTGTATAACCATCAACTCACTATGTTGTACACCTGAAACTAACATAATGTTGTATATCAACTATAATTTTTAAAAAAACTTAAAGATTGAATGCTTTATCATGTTTCTTCACAAGTTGAATCAGTTTGATGTAATTTTTTTCTGCATATACAATTAATGCTTACTGTAAAAAATTCAAACGTTACAGCATTTGATAACATTAAATATGAAAGTCTTCTATAATCCTAGCACCCACAGGAATCCAGTTAACTGTTATATAGTCCTTCTGGACTTTTTTTCCATACAATATTTTAACAAAAACATTCCTTTATTATATAAAAGGAATTATACATTCCTTTTGCACATAAGCTAAAATGGTCCGTTTCGGTTTCCTATAGGTAATAAAAAAAAAAATTCAGTCTATTGTCCAAAGTGATAAAAAGCGAAGCACACAGAAAACCAAATAGTGCGACTCTTTGAGAATTTCTTCTAGAAGAAAGACAAGGAACATTTTTATTCAATTGGTAACCCTCAAGTTGTTAGGCAATTGTTAGGTTGTTCTTGTTTTCTCTAGGGCTTCGATTGCTCTTTCCAATTCATAAAATAATCGACACTGAGAGATATTATTAGGAAGCTAAAATATTTCTCTGCAACACAGCTGTTCTACAGAGCAGGGATCTAGACGCTATCACATTTGGAGAAAACAAGGCAGACCTTGCCAGAGATAACATTAATAGCCCCTCCCCAACAGCGCGGACACTCTGGAACCCTCCTCTGGCCATCCAAGAAGTGGGGGGTTCTTTTCCTGCAGGATCAAAGCTGTGAGAGCGCAGAGAGAGTGCGCCGCCCAGGAGCATCCGCGGTGAAGAGAAACACTCCCCCCATCTTAGGGACCCGCGCCGCGCTCCTGAATCCCAGCACCTCTTTGTGCGCTCTAATCCGGGATGCAGAAACCCCTCCCCGCCGCCCGGCTCCCTCCCAGCGAGCGCCTGGAACAAAAACGGGATTTCGCATCCCAGTTGGTTCAAAACTTCTATTAAGCCTTTTTCATCCCCATACCTTTCCCCTCCCACCCTCTCCAAAACACCTGCGTAAATTTAAAAAGCAACTCAGGTATGAGGAAAGACGTGCGATTTATCTTCTTTTCACTGGCAAAGGCCCAGGCACCCTTTGCCCACCAAGGCAAGAGACGCGCGATGGCTGTCCCGGCAAAGACCCTCGTGTCCCAGGACGCCGTTGAGTCCCTCCACAAGATCCGAGGCGGCGCCCCCACCCTTCCCGAGGAGAAGCCCCAACTCCAGTCAAGGCCGCGACAATTAGGAACGAGCCTGGTGCCACCGGGGGAAAACGCAGCGGTCACATTACGGGTAAGACGCAGAACCTAAAATCTGTCCCAAACCCGCAAGCAGGCAGAGGCGCACGGCGGGCCGGCGACCCGACTCCCCGGCCGGGGGCGTCAGCGTGGCGCCGGCTTCCGCGCGCCCGGCCCAGCAGCACTCACAAGGTGTCCAGCAGGAGCTTAGCGGCACCCTCGAAGGTGAGCTTCTGCCGCTTCTGGAACGTCTCCCAGCGCTCCCGCTGGTCGCCCAGGTCCAACGTGGCCACGGAGGACGTCGGAGTCACCGGGGTCGGGGGTGGCGGCGGCGGCAGAACCGCCGGCTCCGGCTCCCCGGGGCCCGCCTCCTGGGCCCGCGGCGACGACTGCTTCGGCCGCTGCTTCGCCGACGGCTTTCTCGTCGCCGCCCGGCTCCTGCCCCCCGCTTGGCCCGTGGGGCGCCGTGCGCGGGTGGCGCCGGGAGCCGAGGCGGCGGCGGCAGGAGCCCTTGCGGCCCCAGGCCGCTTCTGCCCGCGTGGCTCGGAGGACGCGTTGCTCCTTGTCTGCCGCATGGCTCCCGCAGCCCGGCGCGTAGGCCTCACCGCCCGCGCGTCCCCGCCGCCCCGCGCGCGCCCCTACCCGCCGACCAACCTGCACGCCCAGGGGGCGCTGCGCCTGCCGGCCCCGGCCCCGGCTTCGGGCTTCGGCCCCGGGCCCTGGCCTGCCGCACCTGGCTGCCCCCGTGCTGCTCACCAAACGGAGTCTCAACTCGCCCGCTTGCCTGCCTCCTGGCCTGCACCTGCCAGCCGCATCCTGCAGGCCAAACAGGACCGCGCTTCAGGCCTCGGCTTCTGGCACCCGCAGCCCGTTTGCACCAGCAGAGGTGCCTACCTACGCCCACTCTGAACCCAGAGGGCTGCTTCTTAACCTTCCTGACCTAGGTGGTCTTGGGTCAGCCTTGAATTCACAGCCGCATCCCAGCGGGGAACCTGCGGTAACTTCATCTCCACGAAGAGAACAGTACTTTACCTGGAGCCTGAGAGGCGCCTAAAATGAGTTAATGTGAGTAAATGGCCTGGCACCGGCTACCTGCTGGACAAAGAGCAGCCGAAACCACAGTTCTTAAACTTTGTCTTCTAACTTTATGTGAAACTCTATGTGTGCGTGTGTTTTATAATGTATTAATTCTAAAAAGAAACCTGTTGACTATGGACAACGGGTTTTTTAGAGTTAATAAATGAATGAAATCCAGACTAAATTACGTGATGATGGTTTTGTTGAACACAACACCGATGTTTAAAGTCAAAAATCAGAAGAACCACTGATGAAACCTGTATCTTTTCTAAAACCTATTAGTTGCTCTATTTTACTCATATCTTCAAAGAAATAAGTTTCTATAAATCATTCCCCTGCTTTTTTTCTACTTAATTTCAATTTTCTTCCTTGTTTTTATCTTATTAAATAGTTTACTGAATTAAATACGTAATTCATTTATTTTGTTTAGTAATAAAAATATTAATAACTATATATTTTCCTCTAAGTATAGCTTTACCTGTATCCATTAGGGTTTTATATGGTGATCTCTAAAAATTTTCTAGATAAGCTGTCTTAACTACTTCCTTAATCACCCAGTCAGGGAATCAGAGTTAGGTCCTCCAGATTTGTTCTTCAAAGTTATCTTGGTCCTTCTAAGTCCTGTGCATTTTCCTATATTAACTTCTACAAAGCAGCCTGCTTGATATCAATCATACTTCTCAGTTCCTCTAATTTAATATTGCTAACTTCATTCCTTTAATTTTCGCTTTTGCAATACCAATAATTTTTTTCTAAAGGAAATGTTTTAAATTTAAAAAGCAAGTTTTAAGAGCATCTTCAGTGGACTTGCCAGGAAGTTTCCTGATATCAAATTTATCAAACCATTTCAACAACCAGTGTACCCAATTATCCTGATAGAAACCTGCCCACAATATTTGTTTACCCTGAAGATGATATCAAGGCTCAATTTGTTGGACCTTTCTTGTTTGCTGGCATGAACCTGACAACAGATAGGTTGAGAGCAAAAAGAAAAACAAAAATGAGTAAATAACTAAAAAAAATAAAACAATAAAACAATAAAACATTAAAAGGGGGAAAAAAAGAATTCTAAGAAATTTAACAGGATTTGCAGCAATGATTATTTCCGAGATCTATGAGATTTGAAACAATTATAAAAGGTTAAAACCAAAGGATTCATTCCTACATTTTCCTTTTTTAAAAAATCCAGAAAATTTGTCACATCAAGAAAGTTCTGCTCTGACTGGTGTGGCTCAGTTGGTTGGGCCTATTCTTCAAAGAGAAAGGTCACCAGTTGGAGTCCCAGTCAGGGCAACCCATGCCTGGGTTGCAAGTTAGGTCCCCAGTCAGGGGACAGGTCTCTCTCCCTCTCTTCCCCTCTCTCTAAAAATAAATAAATAAAATTAGAAAGAAAGGGAGAAGAGGAAGGGAGGGAAGAAGGAAGGAAGGGAGAAAGGGAAAGTTTAGGCTCTGGCCAGGTAGCTCCGCTGGTTAGAGCATGGCCCCCCATGCCAAGGTTGCAGGTTCCATCCCACAGGGCACGTATAAGCATCAACCAATGAATGTGTAAGTGGAACAACAGCAAATAGATGTTTCCCTCTCTCCCTCTTCCTCTCTCTAAAAATAAATAAATGAAAAATAAATACATCTTTATAAAAAAACAAAGTTCTCCATGTTACCATGGCCGCAGCCTTTTTCATCCTCTGAATCAGTGCCCTTCGACATGGGGCGAGCACCCACCAAGGACAGAAACGCCTCTTCAGTTGGTGTCTGAGGGTTTTCCTCCAGGTCTGTCTTGATTGCTCCAGACTCAGATAATCTCCTTGCCAACTGATCTGTTGTCAGGTTCATACCAACAAACACCAGAGGCCCTATAAACTGAGCCTTGATATCACCTTCAAGGTAAACAAATATTGTGGGCAGATTTCTATCAGGATAATTGAGTATGCCGGTTGTTGAAATGGCTTTGATAAATTTGACCTCAGGAGACCTCCTGGCAAGTCCACTGAAGTACTGACTTATCAGCGCACAGAGGGGAATCCCTTGTTTGGAAAGGTTCAAGACCATCCGCAAGCCCTCTCGAGCTCTGGTAACTTCCTGACCACAATCCTTTCCTGAGATCTCCAAAACTCTAAATTTGTTCTTCACTTCCGTTGCTTTCCACTCAGCCAGCCTCTGCTGCCTGTACATTTCAATAGCTCATTATCGGTCTTCCTCATTAAATCCATCTTCATTATCCTCCAGTTCTTCCAAAGTCCTATCATCCTATTTTCACAAATGACTGCTGAAGGACTCACGGCTCCTCCTCTTCGGCCTCCTTTTCCAGTTCGTTCAAACTTTCCTTCAAGGGCAAGATGCTGTTTTTTGTTTGTTTGTTTGTTTTTGTTTTTTTGCGTAAGATGTCATTCCCCTCACTCTCTGTCCTGGGGTCCTGCTTCTTGTCTCAAATAGCTCAAGATAGGCTGGCCAGGGCAAAGAACAGCCCTCCACCACCCCGTCCCCCCAGCTCTCTTCCGCACATGTGCCCATGCCTTTTTTCATTCTTTCCCTCCTCCTCCTCTGAGAATTAGACCAACTAATATTTTTGATATCATTCTAGTTACTCTTTGATTGAATCAAGTCAAAAGTCCTAGAGTCATACGGTTCAGGCACACACCTTTTTAATTGCTTTCTTGGGTTTGGGGTATGTAATAACTTGATTCAGATGTTTTCTTCACCTCAAGCCAATTTAACAGTATAATATCTTTAAAATAAAATCCTAATTCATGTTTTTCATTTGTAAATTGGGCTAAACCTTACATACACTGAAGTGTTTTTACACATATGCACAACTTCACAACCACCACCCAGATCAAAACATGTCTAGCATCTTAAAAGGGTCCTTCGTCCCTCTCCCAGTCATCCTCTCCATGGAAAGCCACTCCGCTTCACGGCCACGATTTTGAACTTCGTATAAATCCACCTGTACGTGTACTCTTGTGTATGACTTATTTTACTCAGTGTCATGTCTGTGAGTTTCCTCCATGTTGTCCATGTATCTATGGTTCATTTATTCTCATTGATGTGCAGTATTTCAATATATGAATATACTACATTTAATTTAGTCTTTCTATTGTTGAAGGACATTTAGAGTGTTTGCAGTTTTGGGCTATTATAATAAGGGTGCTATAACTTTTTTTAAGCAACCATTTTATTTTGCTCAAGATCTTGTGTGACGGGAAACAAGGAAGGACTTGGCTGGGCAGTTCTTGCTTGGGGTCTCTCATGCAATTTCACTGCGATGTCACGGAGACCACAGTCATATGAAGGTGGCATGGGGCTGGCCCTCTAAGACGGCTTCATTCCCATGGCTGGCAGTTGGTGCTGGCTGATGGCTGGGTGATCCATTGGGCCCGCAACTGGATTACTACCCCAAGCCTCTTCATATGGCTTGAGTTCCTTGGGTCTCCTCAGGGAATTCAGGTTGTTTTTCTTTTTAAATAATTGGCAGCTCAGAGCTCCAAAAGTGAGAGACCTACTATACAAGATGCAAGTTTTACCAGTGTGGGTTTCTGTTGTTGGGTGTTTTTCCTTATGAAATTTTTAAAAGCCTGCTGGGATTTGGAGTTGGAGTTGCATTGAGTAGATCAACACAGAGAAAACTGACTTCTTAACAGTATTATGTCTTCCAATATATAAATATATCTCTCCATTTATGAAATCCTATTTAATGTTTTCTCAGCAATGTTTTGTAATAAATTTAATGTATCTTCTGTTAAATGTATTCCTAAATATTTGATATTTTGTTGCTAAAATGGTATTTTTAAATTCCATTTTTTCATTGGTTTGTTGCTAATATGTAGAAAACAATTGGTTTTTTGTATATTGACCTTCTACCCACTGACCTTGCTAAATTCACTTTTTTGTCCAAATAATTTTGCTTTCCTCTTAAATCTGCATGTTAGACTGTTTCCTAATTTCCAAGCAAATTTAAAAAAAATCTTTTGGCAGCTGATTTCTAATTTTATTGGGCCATGTTTGGTACATAAACATCAATGACTCCTAGATTATCTTCATGAATTATGTATGATTATGAATTTTAATTACAAATATGAAAAGTATATATTTTACATTATACCTAAACATTAATGTGATGTTTTTATTAAAGAATAGCCTTTTAGCTCTTTTTAATGTATCTGATCTTGATTTCAACTTTATCTGATGACAGTATCCCATTCCTGCTTTCTGTTTGTATTTATATGATCTATAGCTACCTCTATCCCTTTGTTCTCATTTCTTAACTTTCAAATGCAAATGATTAATAGGTAGAGTTTTAATATCTCAATATATCTCTTTTTTTTAAACAGGAGACTTTAGCTTTTTTGTAATTATTAAACTGGAATCTATCTGTTTTTATCTATCCATTAATTCACGTTTACTTCCTCTTTTACCTTGTTGTTGATTCTTTTTCTTTGCACTAGCTTGGGAAAGTTTCTCTTCATTCCCTTCTTCCCCTTCTGTTAATTTGGAAGTGCTAATCTGTCTCCATAATGCTG